CTATTATCCCTGGGCAGGACTGCTGGATTATATATGTAGATGCATTGGTAAGCTCATTTATTTTAATGATCACATTATAAAGTGCAGTATTTGTATTTTTAACCAGTGCATAAAATACTTGTATTACAAAATATTTAAATGTACTTTGTATGAATGGGAATGGAACACAAACTAAATGCATTAAAGTCTGTTCAGTTTCACCTGACCTATTGATTTTTTGTTATAACTTTTGATAAACATGGAATTTAGAAATTTTGTTTGCACCATTAGAATCGCTAGGTCCTTCCCGTCCTTTAGATAAAAGATTGGGTCAAAATGATAAGGCCTTAGCCTTTTCTGGATGTCCCTGTATAAACTCAATGACATACCTTTGACCGCAATTATGCAGCTAGAACAGCCAGATTAAATTCAGCTGCTACTTATCTGCATCCCTTCCGCGCAACAAAAACAATCCCAAAACCACAAATACGTAAAGAATGCGGATGTGACGTAGTTATTTATTAATTGAAAAAAGCCAGGGGTCAGGTGAAAGTGAATAGACTTTAGTTTTATTAGTACTCTTTGTGTTTTCATTTCAGGTATTAGAATATAGTGGTGGTGTCTTAGATTGTCTTTCTATTGCAGTCAAAGGAGCTCTAGCAAACACTAAGTGAGCTCAACCCTCGTTAACATGTACATGTACTGCGTATGCATGTAGTGCATTAAGGTTTCTCATAGGATTTTGGTATAGTGCTCATGCAGCTTCTTGTCAATGGATTATCAAATTACTCCAAAATTGGGCCAAAGACCCTTACAGGGAATTTTGAGAAAAGTGACAAGAAGAGAATTTTTCATTTTTATAATTTTTTCTGATACATATACATGTACTCATGTTGTGTAGAAAGTTTGAACAAATTCCAGTCAAGTTTGGATTTTTTATGAATTTTTAAAAGTTTCTTTAAAATTGGGCCAACGTCCCTGTACTATAGTACAGGGATTTTGGCCAAATTTTGTCAAAAATAAAAAGGATAGAATTTTCCATTTTTATAATGTTTCTTGATACTTATACATGTACTTTCATTGTTTGGAAAGTTTAAACTGATTCTGATCAAGTTTGGATTTAAAAAAAATTTTTAAAAACTCAGACCAAGGTCCCTGTACTATAGTACAGGGATTTTGCCAAATTTTGTCAAAAATGAAAAGAAGAGAATTCCTTATTTTAATAACTTTTTTGATACATGTACATGTATTTATGTTGCGTAGAAAATTTGAACTGATTTTGGTCAAATTTAGATTTTTTAATAAATTTCCAAATGTCATGTACTGTATTGTAGTGCTTGTCAGCATGCTGTTTTGTTGGAAATTCTGACATGCATTCATGATGTATGTCCTTGTTTCCTTAAATGAATGGGTTGAATACATTTACCGTTATATTTTGTACACCATTTTATTTTGTGGTGATTCATGTTCATGTAACTTATTTTATTTGCTCATAACTCTAAAGCTTGTCATTAATCAGCAACTTGTGCATCAGAAAATGGCATGTTTTATCAATTGAACTTGATTTAGGTATAAAATTTTCTTTTTTGACTGCTGTTGAATGTACATGTATAATTTGACCTCATCTTTGTCCATTGATTACAGGATCCCTAAGCTAACTGTTATTGGAGAAGGAGAGGAACAAGAGATAGAAATATCAGACAATCCTTTTGACTCTACTTCAATAGATACAAATAATGTACCAGTATTTGTCAGCTTATCACTAGTGAGACGATAATTTTGTAATACCGTATAGGAGCACTTTATTTTCAAGGAGCAAAAGTTTCACTCTTTTCTCAGGCTAGCATGCAACTGTGAAATTAAAGATCCAATAAATATTCAATTGTCATTAAAAGCATGTGGTACTAACATTGCAAATCTGCAAAAAAAAATTTTTTTGCGAAAAATTGATGAAATTTTAGCTCCACAAATTAAAGTGCTATACAGTACACACATCACTTCCAATTTGCATCTGCAATTTTTTTCTCCTCCCTCTCTCCTCTCAGATAGGTAATCAGTTCATAGTGGATGCTAGTCATGAAGAGGAGGCCTGCTCTCTCTGTCAGTTATCAGTTGGAGTCAACCACAAAGGAAGTATATGTAGTATTTTAAAAGAAGGAGCTGGGAGCTTCAAGCATAAACAATACAATGAAGCAATATCAGTAAGAGAGCAATGAAGCATACATGCATTAATACATGTAGTACCGTATTTACAGATTACAGTCAAACCTGCTATTGTGGACAGTCTAAAATAAGGACACCTTTATAATCAGGACAGATAGTATCAGTCCCAATACAATATAAATGTGTATTAATGAACCTCTGAAATAAGGACACCTCTTTAATAAGGACAGTTTTATTGGGCCCCAAGGTGTCCGGAATAGACAGGTTTGACTGTACATGATATGTAATTATAATAGAAAGTCAGTTGAGGGGCAAATTGTACATGGGAAAAATTTTATAAGCTGATTCCAATTCAGAATTTTTATATTTGTTTCAAATTTTTGTCGAGACAGATTTATCAAAAAAGATTTGTAGCTTTTAATTATATTTTCTGAATCATATGCCATGTTTTATGTTGTGCAATAGTATAAAATATTAATTCCAGTGTTAACCTTATTTCTGGCACATTCTAACACATGGAGGACGAAATTATTGTTTTTCTTTTTTGTAGTTGGCCAGTGAAATTGGAGTTTCAGTCATAGAGAAAATAACACTCACAAGCAATACTGCACCTGAAAAGATGCTATGATAGTAATTTTTAAATTTTAAAATGTAAATATGTATATAAAAATAAAAAATAAAAAATTATAGCTTAGCATCAGTGTATCTCAT